CGCTCCCCCCCCCCCCCCCCGGCTAACCCCGCTAGGAAGAAAGGGGTCAGGAGAATCGGCAGAAGGCCTGTGCCGGGAGTTCTGTGACGGGAAAGCCAACCCCTTCCCACGCATCCGGCCTCTCCTCGGGTGAGGTCCAAAAATGGCTCTGTCGCCCTAGCCAGGGATAGATGCTGGTACAAAAAGCTCCCAAACTGGAGCCTCCCCGTCTCTCCGGCCCCAGGAAAGGTAGCCTATTTGAAACCTTTTTCAGACTTCAGCAAACTAAGACAAGACCCAGCCCCAAAAGCTAAGACCGGTCAATTCACTTAACACTGGAGATCAGACGCTCTTTCTCTGCCAGGCCGTTCTTAAAGGTAAACACTCTCTGGCCGTCTGACTCAGAAGAAACATAAGCACATAAGAAATGCCAATGTTGGATCAGGCCAAAGGCCCATCCAGTCCAACACTCTGTGTCACACAGTGGCCAGAAATACCAGTGCCATCAGGAGGTCCAACAAAGATGACACCAAGATGACAGAGCATCACTTGCCCCAGAGCCCCTATCTATACGTTGTGGCTAAGAGCCACTGATGGACCTCTGCTCCATATGCCTATCTAATTCCCTTTTGAAGCCATCCATGCTTGTAGCCGCCACCACTTCCTGTGGCAGTGAATTCCATGTGTTAATCACTCTTTGGGTGAAGAAGGACTTCCTTTTATCTGTTCTAACCCGACCGCTCAGCAATTTCATGGAGTGCCCACGAGTTCTTGTATTGTGAGAAAGGGAGAAAGGGAGAAAAGTACCTCTTTCTCCTGCTTTCAAACAAGATATCAACACAAGGCTCTCATTAGCCAAAACGCCTCATTAGAGAGACTGATGCTGTGCCAGGATCTTATCTCCAGTGCTTAAGTGAATGACTGTTATTGTTTTTCACTGGAAGTCCTTGCAAACTTAGTTACCCTTTGAGCACCACCACCACGATGCAGTTTTCCTTAGCAGCCGGATGCCCACTTGAACATAAGCGAAGCCATGTTGGATCAGGCCACTGGCCCATCCAGTCCAAGGCTGCGTTTTGCACAGTGGCCCAAACCCAGGAGCCATCAGGAGGCCCTGCCGCAGCCTCAACATCTACCTTCTTAAAGACTAGTAAATACTGGAAAGGACTATGTGCTGAAAAATGCATATCAAATTTGCCATGCAACCAGAGACTATGCTATTGGGAATTCTACCCATGAATACTGAAAGAGCAACACATAAACTATTTTGATATGTGTTAACAGCAGCACCAGTACTGTTTAAAACAAAATGGAGTTCTGACCAAATCTTGAAGAATGGAAAGGTAAGATTGAGGAATATGCTGTTATGGCAAAATGGATGAGTCATATTTATAACTGTCATAGATAGAGCTGTAAGAGCGATGCAGTATTACATTTTGAATATTTAGTTAATGGTTATCAATTCAAAATCATATATGGAATTTTCTATATTTATTATTTCGTTGTTATAAATCATTCTAAATGGTTTTCCGACTATTTTAAATCCATACGAAATGTTGAGAAAATTTGTTTACACAATTTTCTTCATAATTTCTTTCAGACTGAGAATAGCAAAAACAGTGTTATTGGTAATGCTGTGATGTTATAATGATTTACCAAGACTTATTAATTCATTCACGTTTATATTGTCTTTAACATGTGTTAAAAAGTGCCTTGCGTTTACTTCTCCTTCCCCTTCACACCCTGTTTCTTTTTTGCAGTGCTTAAGTGAATGACTGTTATTGTTGTTCACTGGAAGTCCTTGTAAACTTAGTTACCCTTTGAGCACCAGCTGAAAGGTGACCCACCACTACCACCATCACCACCACCACCGCGATGCAGTTTTCCTTAGCAGCCGGATGCCCACTTGAACATAAACATCCAGTGCAAGGCTGCGTTTTGCACAGTGGCCCAAACCCAGGAGCCATCGGGAGGCCCTGCCGCAGCCTCAACATCTACCTTCTCAAAGACTAGTAAATACTGGAAAGGACTATGTGCTGAAAAATGCATATCAAATTTGCCATGCAACCAGAGACTATGCTATTGGGAATTCTACCCATGAATACTGAAAGAGCAACACATAAACTATTTGCAGCTCCTTCTTTTTCTGTACCCCATATAAAATTTTAAAATGATAGACGTATAAAAAGAGCTCTACCTTCTCGATTTCCTGCTCGGAGACCAGCATGACGACCACGGAGACCTTCTGCTCGTAGATCATGAGCCAGAAGTCGGCGGCGGTGCCCGGCAGCGGGGCCTGGGTGGCGATGATGGTGGGGCAGTAGGAGGAGAGGTCCTCGACCCGGCTGGCGTTGATGTAGTCGTCCTTGCCGGACTGGAGGACGATGCGGTTCTTGTCGTAGGGCATGATGTCCTGGTGGCGGTTCTTCATGGAGTAGCAGCGGGCGATGGCGATGGAGAGCTGCCGGGCGTCCTTCTCCTGGGCGTCCTGCAGCTCCTTCCAGACGGCGTCGAGCTCGCTGACCCCCCCTGCAGGGGCCGGCTTCTCCAGGCCGGCCACCGTGTCCCGGAAGCGCTCCAGCTCCGCCAGCAGCCGCCGGATGCGCTCCGGCTTCTCGTAGGGGTCCTTCTCGATCAGCTGCACGGCCTTGGGCTTCAGGCCGTCCTTGGCGTCGGCCTTGGTGGGCTGCAGCAGTGGCTGGCTGACCGCGGCCTTGGCACACCCCAGCTGGCTCTCGGGGCTGGAGGACAGGAGGTCATCGGTGGAGGAGCTCTGCCGGTGGAACTGGACCTCGGCCGGGCCCTGGAGGAGGGGCGCGGCGCCCGGGGCCAAGGAGGAGGGGGGCAGTGGCGGCAGCGGCCCCGGACAAGGCACGGAGGAAGGCAGGAGGATGGGGGGCGGGGCGGCCATGGAGGGCTGGGGAGAGGGTGCTGGGGAGGGGAGGGCGACCCCCGGCACCACCACTCCGCCTGGCATCTGGGGCCCCGCGGGGCTGGGAGCGGGTGGGATGTGACGAGGGACCGGCTGGCTGGCGGGGGGGGGCTGCGGGCCAGCCAGCGCCCTGGGAGCCC